GCTTTGGGAGAAAAGAAATAGGTCATTTACAGGGACTCGAATTCAGATGCCATCGTACTTCTCATTAACAGTTCTGGAAGCTGGGAGACAGTGCAAGAGTACCTGTGTCATAGCAAGGAAAATAATTTTCAACTCAGTTAACACTCTTCTCTGAACTATCAGTTAAGCTTGAATATAGGCTAAAGATATTTTCAGACGAGTCTCAGAATGTCTTCAGACTGTGACTTCTCACATATCCTCTGGAATCATTACTATAGCTAACATTTACATAGTGCTCACCCTGTGCTTCACTTTATTTAGCACTTTAGAGCAACAATATGAGGTTGATGGTACAATTTCTCTGTTTTCCAAATAGAGAAACTGAGCCATGAAGTTAGTTCCCAAGGTTCCACAGCTAGGAAGGGGTGGAATGAGGACTTGAACCTGGGTAATCCGAAGTCCACTGTGTTAGATCGCCTCTCCTAGAGGACATGTTCCACCACGGAGACGGAGGGAAACAAAAAAGATCCAGGAAACAAGATCCAGCACAGGAGTGGATCAAAAGGAACTGCCAGGTTGGAGGTGAAGGGATGCTCTAGGATAGTAGCAGTACAAAGAGATCTGGAATTCATTTGTTCTGGAACACATGGAGGGCTCTAGGAGAAAAACGGAACAGATAAATTACCTGTTACGTTCGGTCATATGGAGCGTAGTCTGTTGGTGGAGAATGGATTGGTGGTATCTCCATAAACAGACAAATATGAAAGGGGATATCATAATATACCACGTGGCTCTGCTTTGGATAATATTTGTGTAGACAGTCTGCAGTAAATCCTGAATGTTGCCTTCACCAGGAATTGTGATTGGGGAGGGTGGGGAAGAGAACCGCCTTTACATGTGTGAGCCTGTGAAGGGCCAGTGGGTGTGGTGTAAGAGGATTAAATGTCCGCTTTCACAGTAGGAAGTCAGTACAGACTATTTTTTTGAGACAAGGAAAATCAGGCACTGTCTCAATATTTAGAAAGATGGCAGTAAATACCAGAAGAAACACGAGATTTAAAGTGGTTGCCTCTGGGGTGCTAGAATTAGGGATTGGAAAGACTGAGGCAGAGGACTGCCATTATTTAATATATGACTTCAAAAAAATAATTATACACAAAACATGGCATAGTTTCCCTGTCTTAGCCCATAACCTGTGTGTCGGCAAACCTTGAAGGTTCTATATGCAGAGTATATCTGCGGTCTGGCCCCTTCTCAACACCGTCACTGCTGCCACCTGGGCTCAACCACCAGCCTCTTTCACCTGAGTTACTGCAGCGTCTCCTGTCTGGACTCTGAGCTTTTATCCTTGCTCCTTTTTTTTTTTTTAAAGATTTTATTTATTTATTTTAAGATTTATTTATTTGACAGAGACACAGTGAGAGAGGGAACACAAGCAGTGGGAGAGGGAGAAGCAGGCTTCCCGCTGAGCTGGGAGCCCGATGTCCCCATTGGGGGACTGACGTCGGGCAGGACTGAATCCTGCCCCGTCCCAGGACCCTGGGATCATGACCCAAGCCTAAGGCAGACACTTAACGACTGAGCCACCCAGGCGCCCCTTAAGATTTTATTTTTAAGTAATCTCTACACCCAACGTGGGGCTTGAACTTAGAACCCTGAGATCAAGAGTCGCATGCTCTACTGACTGAGCCAGCCAGGCGCCCCCTGTCCTTGCCCCTCTTCGGTATCTGCACAGCACCCAGAGCGATGCAGTTAAAATATGAATCCGATTATGATGCTCTCTTGCTCAGAGCTCTGCTGGCCACCCCCTATGTCCACACACACCCCTTCCCTGCTGTATTTTTCGCCATAGCATTTATCATCTAACATTAGGTGTTTTACATACTCCTTTTGTTTCTTGACTGTGTTCTCTCATTAGAAGATAATCTCAATGAGTGTGGGGATTTTTGTCTGCTCTGTTCCCTGTATTCTCAGCCTAGAGCAGTGCTTGGCACACTGTAGCCCCTGAATAAAGATTTCTTAAATAAATGTACTGCTTTCATGGCAATAAAAATTACATTTAAAAGTACCAGTTTTTAAGAAGCTGTTTGCAGTAAGCTAAGCCAAGCAGTTCATTGTCTTACTGGCTTAAGCATCCTCAAGCAATCTGAAACAGAAATCCCGGGAGATCTAATTGAAAAGATTTGTTTCCATTTGGAAAATAACCATATGCTGCCCTGACATTACGCCCCTTGAAAAACTTGTGCTGCGTACTAGGAGTCCTTACTGCAAAAATGAATTGTAGTGTTTCATGGTAACTATTTATGACTCAGACTGTTGAATTTCACAACCTTTTGGCAACTGAGATTTCAGACAGGATACTGGTATTTATTTTTAAATCCTAGAATCTGCTTAGTGAGGTTAAGTAAGCATCACAAATATCTCCTATGAGGATCCAACAGCCAAGATTCCATTTCTTACAGGGAAAACCACCTCCAGCAGTCTGAACACCAGTTGGCCTTGTATTCGCTCATAATCATTCTTGCTGTGTTGCAGCCAACTAAGGCTGCTTGCATTTCGTCGGGGCGGGCTTTCTCAGCCCTCTTCCTTCTCACCTCTTCGTTCAGAAAATGTCAGGTGCCAGGCCAGTGCCATCACATATATCCCCATGGCTAGAGATCACATGTCTGCATACACATGGTTAGAACTCCCAGCGGGAGAAGTGGGACTGTGAGAGGGAAGGGTCTTCATCCTCAGGCCGGCCCTGAGAACACGTGAATGAGGAGCAAGGCGAAGGAAACGGTCTCTCTTTGCACTGCCTGCAGAGGTCTTCTTGGAAATCAGCTGAAACCTAACCCTCCTCCACACTCCTACTTCTTAAGTAGCAAAATGTGGACACTCTTCAGATCTACGAAGGACTTTAAGATGTTTGAAAATCATGACCCTCGGATGTCCAATGTGTTAGATTATAGTTCAGTTTATATTGGAAGGGATGTGTATTTGTGTTTAGTTAACTGTGACACCAAAGAGGTTTTGCAGGGACTTTTTTGGTGGTTGTTTTGCTTTTGGTGATTTCCCTGAGTGTAAGTAAGCATTGTTTGCATACTTAGGTGATTATGCAGTAAGAGTTCTAAATGCTTGACGATGATTTAGGTCCCCGTTATATCAGTGTGCCTTTTCAGGCTGCGTTCTGCCCTTCCTCAAACTTCCAGATAACGCCCTTCTGTTACTGCCTTGTATAATGATAGCCACACACTGCTTTTCCTGCTAGGTCCTGAAGCTCTTTCTTGTTTAAAGAGCCGATGCTATTTCATTGTATCATTTTGAGGAAAGATAATGAATCCTGAGAGAATCCTAGTTAAGTAGCAGGCAGTGTGCTGTATACTATTTCATATTCAGTATCCAGTAGAGCTGTGACCATAGTCAGCCTTTGGCCTGTGATAGGATTTCATTGTTCTCGTTACTATGATAGGGACTGGGTGGCTTCAGTTTTTGCAAACCCAAGGTGAGAAACCTTAAACTAATTTGTGCCAAATAATGCCTTGCGGGTCATTAAAATTAAGTGCCACTATGCTTGGTGGTGGTGGTTTATATATAGATTGCAATAAAACACTGGGCAGAGTGTCTCCTTGTAAACAAAGAAGTTTGTAGACTGGTAGACGAAAGAGTTAATAGGATTCACTGCTGCTGGAGAGCTTTTTCCAGAATTGTTCTGGAGAGATCTGTAGTGGCATGCTGCAGGTTTCTACTCCTGTCCCTCTCTTGTTGGTGAATTTGGATAATGACTTAAGAGGTATGTTTGCCCAGTGGTGGATGAGAAAGCCAAGAGGGATAACTAAAAGCCAAATGCCAACTAAGGATGTTGAAAGATCACAGAAGGATCTGTGAAGGGTGAGCTGAAAGAGACCGGATGAGTTCTAATAGTGACAGTTCTTGTCATCAATTTAAAAAGTTGCTACAAAGTTACAGATTGGCCAAGAACTGACCAAGCTGCAGAAGAGATAAAAGCACTTGAAATTTGTAAGATCCGAATTTGTGTGTGTTGTAGTTGCCTGAAAAGAATCAGAGCCTGGTGACAGATGCCAAAGGTACAGAACAGAAGCAGTACAGGGATCCTTCGACTAAATTCTGAAGGATTAGCCAGGTCAGGTTTGGGATGTTGTATTGTGTTCTTACGATTACATTAGAATGATTTTATCATGTAATATTTGGTAAGAGAAAAGAATATATGTAATATGTAAGTTAGGAAAGAAACAAAAACCCTATCTAGAGACCTGTTCCCAGCTTAAGAACTAGAACATTCTGAAGATCCTTGACTGTTTCCTCCTCTACCCCAGAAGTAACCGTTAGTCTGAATTTGTCATTGCCTTGCTTTTTCAAAAGTAATTCTACCACGTTATGTGTGTATTTATAAGACATATATTCTCTTTAAAGTTGATTTTCAGTTTTATTAAAATGACATTATACTTAATGTGGCCTTTGCCACTTGCTTTTTACATTCAACATTGTTTCTAAGATGCATGTATATCAGTTGTTCTCAACCAGAATCGCTCATCAGCAGAAATCCCCCATGAACACAGAAGATGATTTGAGTGGCTCTTTTCTCAGTTCTCGCAAGGATGGTACATATGCAGCACTTGCTAGATACGCAGGAGAGCAGCTGTCTGGGTACCTAGTGTGGGTGCTCAAGCTGGGCAGTTGGGGCTTCACTCTCTGTTGGAACCTGCTGGAGTTCTAGTTAATTCATGTTTACTGCTGTAAAATGTTCCACTGGTGAGCATATTAAAGCTTATTCATGTATTCTCCTCTCGTGGACATTTGGGTTGTTGCCAGTACTTTTGTTGTTACTGTGGACAGTTTTGCTCTATGTTGTATGTACCTTGGGTGCATGTGAATAAACATTTCTCTCCACGTACATCTGAGTGGTGTTGCTGGGGACTGCTACATCCTCATGGGGACATTGGTAAACCCGGGAGTAAAGCGAAGGGCGATTCAGAATAGTTCAGCTATATCATAACCAGTCTTTATTCTTATTTTCTTAGGGATTGAAGAGGTTAATGACCATTTGCCAGAAGCACTTTCCTACAGATCCATCAAAATGTGTGGAGTACAATGCACTGTGAAATCTGTGTATGGTGTCTAAGTAACGAGAACCAAGTGGACGTGCTATATGGACTTCTGGAATTCCCAACAGGAACGAGGGAAGAATAATGTGGTTTCCTGTGTTTGAGTTCTACCTAACTCTACTCTCTCGGTTTTAAGAAACGGTGTTGGCTCTCCTATCACATCTGGCTGCAAACTGATTTTTGTGTCATTTACTTTAAATAGTCAAAAAATTAAGTTCTAAAGACTTTTCCTTGAATTTAAATGTGTAGACAACTGTCCCAGAAGGGGGTCTAAAATGACATCTTCTCTCTCGACCTACAAGCTGGCAGTTAGAGGATTGAAAAGGAACATTTGAGGATGGACTTAATTTCTTTCTGTAAAATATGGTAATTTTCACATTGTCTTTTATGTAGCATTTATAAAAAATATTTTTATATATTTCAACAAAAATATGGAACCATTTAATGAAACTTTATAGTCCTTAAATGTTGCTGAACTTTTGCCATCTTGCAGTAGAATTGGAATGTAAATGTTAATTACTGTTAACTCAAGTATTGTTTTTCTTGCATTTCAAGGCTTGCTTTTACCTTCTAAGTGTAAATTTTAGTATTTGTCATCTCTTTGGGACAGAAGAATTAACAGGAAATCGCAGTTCAAAAAAGATGGTATATTATACCAACAGAAGTTTAAATTAAGGAAGCCCAGTGCCTCAAGGTTCAAGGTGGGGCAGTGGATTGTGAAGCCAGCCAAGGATGGGGACGTTGTGACACCACTGGTTCTTCCCAGACTAGGACTGCCTGTGAGTCTCCCCGTCGCAGGGCCCGCGGTGGACCGCCGCTTCCGGCCCTGGGCCACCGCGCATAGGAGCAAGGCGCCGGGACTCTGGTCACTGCCTGACACAGTAGGCCATGGGTCTGAGTTGGCCCAGATGAGGACTTCCGAATCTCACACAGTGTCCTCTGCAGATAATGGTATAATGGTGATGAATCGCTGCGCTTTGCAAGTTGAGAGGCCTCAGTTAATAGAGGAAGGTGGGTGAATGGAACCGACCTGCCCAGGTGGAGTGACAGTGTCGGGTAGCAGTAAGGGGGTGCTCCCGAGCCAGCACTGCCAAGCTGGAGGACCCAGCTCTCCCCCCACAAGTGCGAGACCCTGGGTGTCACTCAGCCTTCTCTGCCTCCTTTTTGCCCCGTCTGCACGCGGTCGCGAGGCCCTGGGGTGTACACCTCAGCGTGCTGCCGTGGTGGTCAAGTCAAATAAAATGCTTAGCGTGCTGCCTGGCAAATGAGAGCTCAGTGGATACTGGTTCTTGTGTCCTCGTTCCTCGAGTGTTACCGCAGTAGCGTTCCTGAGCCCTGTGCCGAGGGGCGGTGTGTGCTCAAGTCAGGGTAACACCAACGATGGAGGGGGCGGTGGCAGCGACAGCCATAGGGGTAGGAGTGGTTACCAAGCAGGGACTGTGGTCTGGGCTCAGTGACTGCTCCCGATTTCAGCCAGTTTGGAGTTGAAAGGGCGAGAGGACGTGGTGGGAGCTAGAGTCCGCTGAGTCGTAGGTGGGGGTAGCTTCTCATAGCTCCACGGTCACCTGTTCTGGCTCCTTTGGGAAGGCTCGAGAGCCTCTTGTGGTCACCTGTGTATGGCCATGCCTGTCGGATCATTTCTGCGGGGTTTCTGCACAGGGTGGCTGGAGCCCGCCGTCCTGAATTGAATCAGGCTTACGCCCTACCCCACTCCCCACTTTGGAAACCATTTCTTATGATTAAATTAGATAGGACTTAGGAGAGCTTACTCTAGGGCAAATGGGAGAGAGACTTTTGTAAGATAGGATGCTAGTCTAGACTTGAGTTATGTAGTTTTGTGTCGGACTTGTTGATAAATACCATTGAATGAATACTCCCCAAATTTCTTTATTCACAGTCAGACCCCCAGCATAGCAGTCCGTTGTTTTCCTGTTGTCTTTCCATTTGCTGTTAGTTAATACTCCACATAAAGAAGAAACTATCAGGTGACACCAATACCTTCTAAAATTGACCCGTATGGGTAGAAGTTTTGAAAAAAGGTAATCTTCTATAGTCCTCTGAATGTTAACCATTGGGGCTTAGGTAGAGGGAAGCAGGTTCATAGAAAAGCTTTCCATTTCCCTGAAATTAAAGGTCTTCTGTTAAGTGCAAATAATCACGTGGCTATATAGAACAGTGACCCCCCCGCATTCTCCGCATCATGAAAATTTTAGTTCAGCAGATACGACATACCTCTGGTTTTAGCTATTTTTAAAATAATAAAGGCATCCTTTAAAAATCATTAAGAGTCCTGAAATAACTATTCTTCCCTTTCTTCATTACTGCCGGCCCAGACTCCTGTCCAAAGGAGTTCTTCCTGGAGTCAAATTTAATTAAATGCTGGTATTCTCTCACAAGTAATCCTGTATTTTCTGGGAGTGTTCTTGCCAACTGCGAAGACCAAGCAGTAGATTTTAGCATTACAGCACAGAGCCTGGGCGGCCTGGAAGCCAGGGCCGGGCTCTCAGTCTTTGGGGAAAATTAGGAAAATAAAGTTGAGGCCAAAGACAATTGCGGGAGAGAGGACGAGGGTGGTTCCAGTCTCCTGAGGAGAAGGGCGGGGGGGGGGCGTCCCGAGAGACCCGAGCGGGGAAGGCAGCTGTCAGCCACAGAACTGAGGGATCTGTTCCGAGCTCAGCGAGAATTGGGAAGAATGGGAAATAGGATTGATAGCAGAAGGGCTTCTTGGTGTTAAGTCCTTCCATCTGGTGATTTCCTGACCCACTCTCACACTTTCGATTGCCCTGGGTTTTGACCCCCGTAAATACTTGAGAACCCCAACTGTCTTTTCACTTGAAAGTCATTTATTCTGCGAGCAGTTTAGAAAAGACAACAGAAAAGTATACCAGAGTCTTTGGTAGATTTGAATTTGGGGATTCCTTATCACTGGCTCCTTTTCAGCCACACAGTCACCCCCTTTTAAGGATTAACATAGGAGATGGTAGAACTTGGGCAGTTTCAGTGAAAGGGGGGCATTAAATTGCAGTGTTGCGATGGCCTTTGTCAGAGTGTCTTGGAGATGTGCCTCCCCAGTACGCTCCCATGAAGCCCCTCGCTGACCAACTTGACCCCGTAGAAATGTATGGTATGGGACCATTTTGGGAGTCCTGAGCTGCAAGCCCTTCCTCACAGCTTTTGATGTGAGAGTTTCCAGCTGTGTGAGGAGCCGGCACCAGCCCCCCGAGGGTCACCACGGGACTGCCGTTATGGCAACTGGTCTTCATCACAGACCCTGTAGCTCCGTTGGCTGAATTCTAACCACACGCTAGTACTTTAATGGTTAACAGTATCCTGAACATCTTTTGAAATTTAAAAACAGGTTCTGGGGGTGCGGAGTAACTGGACGGGGGGAGGGCGGTGTGGCTGGTGGCGGCTGTGGCGTGAGCCGACCCCATTCAAGATTTGGGAGCTGTGCTCATTTAAAAATAGGTTTTGTACATTTACCAAAAGAACTTACTATGAAACTTTGATTACTTACTCAGCTGTGCCCGTAGTAAACCCCAGGGTCCTTGGTACAGCTTTGCTGCAGCTGACCGTCCTCGCGGTGCCCCGCAGGGCTGCTCTGCTGAAGTGGGCGGCTTGGTTTTGTGGGGTCCCGCCTCCCTGCCTTTAAGCACCGGCTTTGAAAATACTGTCAGCCTTCCTTCAGAGCATTCAGGCTGGATACATGCTTTCACCGGGGAGAGCAGCTAAGAAGTTTCAAGCTTCCTTTTGAGTATGATCGGTGACCTCAGAAGTGTTCACTGAGCTTCCTCCCACGACGGGCAAGAGTCATTTGGGCAGTCTGCTCTCTGTGCCCTTCTGAACTCCCAGTTTGTCATTGCCAAATTGCCTTTCCTGTCCAACTGCTCTGCCTTTGAGACTTAGGAACAATCGGGAACCTTTAGTGTTGTAGTCTGAGCTTGGCTTGGAGGTTCTGCCCTCCCGGGAAGCAGAAGAGTTAAAACTGTGGCTTTGGAAACTTTCTGACCACAACTCAAAGTGTAACAGTAACAAATGCATGCATACATAAATGCACATATAACTGAAACAAAAGCACTCACATACTCTTCTCTTCTATTTCTTGGAAGAATATGCTGGCTGTGACTCCAAACAGGCCTTACGACGCATTAACGCGCTGGGACCAGTAGTTTGAAAACCACCCATTAAGACCACCAATTATCAGTGGAGTTAAGGATGGAAATGACCTGGTAGATGAATTCAGGGCAGAAGGACTCTACTTTACTTTTTTAAAATTTTTTTAAGCCACCTAGGCGCCCCTAAATTGTTGATTTTGTAAAGGCAAACAGGTATTGGCTTTTCAGGGTCACTACAAAGGTCTATTACAGAGAAGGTTGTGCTTTCTGGAGATAGGGCTGAAAGTGGGGTATGAGGATTTGGCACAGCTGCGTGCTGGGGAATAACTATATTGTTGATAACTCTTAAGTCCTGAACAAACCTGCATCCTCTTCCATGTTTTTTAATTTTTTTTTAAATAACATATAATGTATTATTTGTTTCAGAGGTACAGGTCTGTGATTCAACAGTCTTACACAATTCACAGCACTCACCATAACACATACCCTCCCCAGTGTCCATCACCCAGCCACCCCATCCCTCCCACCCCCCACCGCTCAGTTTATTTCCTGAGATTAAGAGTCTCTTACAGTTTGTCTCCCTCTCTGGTTTCGTCTTGTTTCATTTTTCCCTCCCTTCCCCTGTGATCCTCTCAGAGGATAATTGTCTTTCTCTGACTGACTTATTTCGCTTAGCATAATCCCTTCTAGTTCCATCCATGTCGTTGCAAATGGCAAGATTTCATTTCTTGATGGCTGCATAATATTCCATTGTGTGTGATATATATATATATATCTCACACATATACACACATCAATCACGTCGTCTTTATCCATTCATCTGTTGATGGACATCTAGGCTCTTTCCATAGTTTAGCTATTGTGGACATTGCTGCTATAAACATTGGGGTGCATGTGCCCAGAAGGACTCTACTTTTAAAAAGTTTTTTAAATACAGAGCTACAGAGATCACACTCAGCGTTCAAGGTTAGTGTGAAGTTTAGCAAATTATAAAACCTTTCCAGTGCTAAGTACTTGCGAAGCAGCCGTTCTTATATTTCAGATGACGAGACTGTCCCCCAAGGGGAGGATAACCACAACACACAACATATAGTTGGCACCGTGGTTAGGTGACCACGTTATGCTGGCTGTCAGTTGTATAAAGGGAGATGAACCAAGATATAAAATAGATGGGAGCTCAGAGGTAGGGTTTAGGCAGAGAAAGATACATAGAGGCCAGTATCGTGCATCAAATCTCTACTGAGGGTTGGCTCTTGCCTTTAAAGATTACTTCCCAAGGCCCAGGCAGGACTGGATTACATTCCTTTTAATGTAAATTTTTAA